ACTCTGCATCAAAACTGTCGTGTTTGATGCAATACTGTAAAGGTAATGCCAGGAGGATACTTAATTGCTGTGAGACTATGGATCCAGAAGATGGATATACTCAAGCACTGAAAATTTTAGAAGAAAGATATGGAAATAATTATGAAATTTCACAGAAGTGGATACAGAAGATTATAAACAGACCTAATATAAAGGGACCCTCCGAGCTTAGAGATTTTGCTGATGACTTCAAGTGCTGTTATCAGACTTTAAAGAACATGGGGTCATGAGAAAGAGTTGGACAATGCAGCTAGTTTACAGGCCATCTAGAGGAAATTACCGCTGGTCTCATGAAAATCATATTATAAAGAAAGATCAGAAGCGAGTACCCAAGTTGAAGGACCTGGTCGACTTCATTATTGATGGAGCAGAAGCTAATGGCCCAATATTGTCTAGAGTTCCTTTCAGTGAATCAGAATCAGAATCAGAACTTTATTTCCATATACAATGGTTATTCCTTGAATCAGAAGGGCAAGATCACCTTTGGAGGCATGAGCTCAGAAGGGATAAATAAATCAGTCGTAAGGGAGCTGAAAAGAGGTGAATTGGAAGCTTTGCTGTGAAAGCCAGCTCAGTGAACAAGCAGTCAGTTACATCTGAAAATATAACAGAATTCTGACGGCTGCCCTCGCTGTGGATAAGAACATTATATGACTCGGTGTTTACGATTCAGAGCCATGAAAATTAAGGATTGTAGGAACTTTGTGATGTCAAAGTCATTGTGTATTAATTGTTTTGCTAAGAGACATATAGGGAAAACCTGTCCCAGAAGTTTTGTATGCAACATTAGTGGATGTGGCCTAATGTTTCTTCATGTGCCAACTAGACTGCAGGTTGGTCATGTGGACAACACAGTGAATCCAATTCCAGTAGCATATCAGAATATATCAACCACATCATCATCTATGACAACAAATCAGAGCAGTCATTATGTTCGTACATGTGGAGGTAAACTTGCCAATTGTACATGCTAGAGTGTGGCGTCCAGGCTCTGATATCTACATTGACACCTATGCTATGCTTGATCCTGGTAGTAATAGTAACGCCACTTACTGCAGTGAGTTTCTGTGCAATCAGTTAGGAGTCCAAGGAACTATGCGCAATATGGAGTTAACCACACTTACACAGAACCGAATGTCTGGGGAAACAATAGTAGTGTCTTTGATTGTTTCCAGTGTGAACGAGGCTAGTGACTTATAATACAACGTAGAAGCAACTGAATATAGATCTCACAGGTAGATCAACACAAATGGATGTTGTGCAGTGGCCGCACCTTAGAGATTTGGCTATACCAGAAGTGAAGGCAGACCAAATGCACTTACTGATAGGCCAAGACTCTTCAGACTTGTTACTGCCAACTGATGTCAAAAGAGGTAAACAGGGAGAACCTTTTGCCTTGCTCACACCACTAGGCTGGGTCCATAAATAGACCAGTAAACCCTTTTGGTAAGTCGACTAACTTTTCATATTTGATACAGGCAAGTGTCCCATTGGAAGGTGATCTGAAGAGACTGTGGGAGATAGAAGATGCCTTTGCTGAAGAGAAGGGCTGGTCAGTTAGTGACCAGAGAGCAGTTGACACATGGAACAGTACACTCCAGGTAATAGAGGGATATTATACATTGAGTATACCATTCAAGGCACAGCGACCTAGTTTACCTGACAACATATTCCTAGCCGAGAAGAGGTTAATGTCATTAACCAAGCACCTTAACAAGGATGAGAAACTAAAAACAAAATACTCTGAAGAAATCCTCAAACTGTTAAAAAAGGGATATGCAGAAGTAGTCCCTGAAAAAGACTTGCACCGCCATGATGGCAAGGTGTGGTATCTGCCGCACCACCCTGTGTTGAATCCAAAGAAACCAGAAAAGTGTCGCATTGTTTTTGACTGTGCTGCCAAGTATGGTGGCTCTTCACTTAATGATCATGTGCATCAGGGACCAGATTTGACCAATGGACTTGTTGGTGTTCCGTATGGGTTTATGGCCGATATAGAGTCCATGTTTCATCAAGTGCGTGTTACCCCTGAAGACAGAGACTCACTTCGCTTTCTGTGGTTTGAGAACAACAACACATCACAACCCCTACAGACCTTACGAATGACAACTCATATTTTTGGAGAAGTGCAAATTATGCCCTTCAAAAGGTAGTTGAGGAGTATAGCAACATGTATTCTGAAGAAGTACTGAACACAGTTCTTCGCAACTTATATGTGGACGACTGTCTGAAGTCTGCAAATAGTGTTGAGTCTGCTATAGTTTTGGCAAAGCAAGTTAAAGAGCTTCTGAATAGAAGGGGATTTCATCTTACTAAATATATTTCTTCATCACCAGAACTGCTGAAGCATATACCAAAGGAGGACCGAGGAAAATCTTTGATATCTCTGCAGTTGAATTTGGAGGATCAATCCACGGAGAGAGCTCTAGGTATGCTGTGGCATGTGAATACTGATTACTTA